GGCATGTAGAGATAGTAGAGTTATATTCTTTACACTGTTCGAATCTGCTTCACTTTACTGTTTGAGTTGCCTATTTAATTTGAAAGCATGCCTACGTTTCTGTTTAGTTATTTCTATTTTTATCTGTACCGGTTGAGTTCGTCACTACCTTTCAGTCCAAAGTTTGGACTTGTTACTTACTGAGTTGGATGTATTCACGTTACTCCCTGCACCTCGTGTGCAGATCCACGCGTTTTTGGTCACGGCGGCGGTTGCTGATTGCCGTTTCAGAGTTCGGAGACTACCAAGGTAGTTGCATGGCGTTCGCAGGCCTTGACTCTTCTCCTCTATCACCAGTTGTATTTTCAGTTTATTTCTTTAGACATTGTATTGGACTGTATTATAATTTAGACGCTCATGTACTCTGTGACACTCTGGTTTTGGGATGGATTGTATCATAATTTGGATAATTCTGTTTTCAAAAAGGCTTTCCTAAATTATTAAATTACTTCCGTCTTTATGTTAAAAGATTTTTCTTTATTGGGATGTGGAGTTGTGGCTTGCCTAATTCCACGATAGGCGCCATCATGACGGGGTAGGTTTTGGGTCGTGACAAAGTTACATGCTATATCTTACAAACTTCATAAATCCTTCAAGGTTCGGAGGAATTTCCGTTGGTGGTGGCAAAAGAGTAGCTTGGTGATCGCCGCTTCCATTGCCGGGCAAAGCAGCATCCTCAATATTTTTTGACTATTTTTTGGAATAAAGTAAGCAATAGTAGAAAGTATAGAAGAAAATTAGAGAGAGATTGTGATAGATTGATATTGATTTTGTAAGAAAATGAAAGAATGAAGGAGGTATTTATATTTGAAAATAGGAAAAAAGTGTAATTATAAAAATTTTGGGGTTAAAACTGAGTTGGGGGAGGGGGGGTTAAATGGCTATTTTTTAAATAGCCAATGGCTATTTTTTAAAGCCCAACAACTCTTTTTTTAAATAGCCAAACGGCTAGTTTTTTTAAAAACAATATCCGTTTGGCCCGCCAAGGGACCGGACCGGACCGGTCCCTTGGCGAGCCAAACAGGCCCGGTCCTAACAATTCCTAGGCAAGAACCGACCTACGAGACCACTTAGCCCGCGGGCCCGGGTCGGTCCCTGACCGGCCCACTTGCCACCCTTAACTATTTGAAACAATATGAGGGCAAAATTGGATTTCAACAATGATTACCTCAAAAACCGGCAAAAATACTTGCTCAATCACGGGGCAACACGTATTCAGGGTATTAAATGCGAGGAGACGTGTGTCCCTTGAAGTGTCAGAGATCGTTCAGGAACTTTCACGCCAAGAAAAGAATTCTCATCTACTTTCCGGTAACACTAAGTTGCGTCACCGAAAAGTGGAGAGACTATCTGTATGGGGTGAAATTGGTTGATAACAGGTGGTCGAATGGCGAGATGACACGTGAAATCGAAGACAGGCAAAAGATGAATCAGCAAATAACTAGCAACGGGTGCATTGTGTGTAACCGGTACAGGATGGATCCCGAAGGAAACATAGCTGATAATAAAGATTCAAAGGTTTGACATTGGATATCATTTAATGAGCAGCCGTTATAGAGAATATTTGCATTCAAAGCCAGCTGTTATGCACCCATCAATGACGTTTTTATTCTCATTCAAAAGGAGCTTGGTTTTAGGATCTTGTCTCTCTAAGTAGCGCCATAAATAGCAGGATTAACGACCATTATAGGGACATAAGACATTCTGCATACAAAAGCTGTAATCTATTCTCTTATTACACTGAATTGAAACACTTGAAATATTATCGCTCTTTTCATCGGAAAGGCTAAGTCCTTAATCAGACTTGTTATCTCCTTTAATTTCATTCGTTAATCTAATTTTCGTTCCTATTTATTTATATATATTTTTTATTAAATCGATTCGCTTGTCTATAAGCCACGTTACAAATTCAAATGTAACATTTTATGGGTAAACAATTTTAACACATGCCTTATACATGGATTAGTTCTCCCAATCCACCAACCATACATCCCCTGAATGTTAACACTAGTCAGTGTTTAAAATAGAAAAATTTTCGTAGTTACTTATGAATTTATAAAATACTCCATAATCTACAATTTGTATTAAAATTACAAATTCTACAACAAAATATAAAAGATACACTCTAAAAATATGGCAGATTCCCTATTAATGAGGAGTACTATTCTGAAATGTATCCTTATTTGTCCCTAAAAATTTTTCAATTTATTACTCCATCCGGTCCACAATAAGTGATTTTTTGGATGTTTTCACACAGATTAAGAAATTCACCTTTGAATATTAATTAGCAATGAATTTGACCATATTAACCTTTACTGTCTCTTCATATATACACCCCTAACACATACTCCAACATTATTTATTCCAAGGGCAATATAGAAAAAAATAATTAACTTATTCTTGAAATCTAGAAAAATTACTTATTTTGGACCACACAAAAAGACCAAAAAATTAATTATTGTGGACCGAAGGAAGTAATATTGATTACCACTATAAACACCCACTTGCCTTAATCATCCATATATTATGCACCAATCAAACCATATTCCATTGTATTATGCATCAATCAAACCATATCCCCTTGTATTATGCATTACATAAAATCATATCTCTTACCATAAAGAAACATGCCTTTTTTAGTATTAAAGTTTTTACGAAATTATTTCTCTCTCTATTAGAACCCCTATGATATACGCCATACAAAAATATCAAAGGATTCCCCAAATTTGATTCTTCTTAACGCAAAACCCTATTTGCTTCCCCCAAGTTCTTTTATAATATAATATTGTATATTTTTAATATATACATGATATATATTATTTTAGATATATTATACTCTGTGTAGTATATTTATCAATGATGTTTCTTTTTTTTCCTCAGTTCAGTGTTTGTGTATATATATATATATATACCGTATAATATAATATACTATATAATACAATATATTATTGTATATTTTAATTATGTAACATACACTTTATACAAGAAATATACAATATACAATACATTAATGGAGAAATTAGAGGAAAATTATTATGATAGATACTTTTAGATGAGAGAGAATCTTAAGAGATATATTAGGATACATTTTAGGTGAGAGAATCTCAACATAGATATATTAGGAATATGAAAAGTTGTAAAGTTTAAAATAAATTGTATTATATGTAATTTTATCAAAATAGTTATAGGAAACTTAAATAAATGTTAGAAAGGTTATATTCTATGTAAATTCCTCTTTAAAATATTGTCATTGATCGATTTTTCCTCCGATTACATATCCTATACTACTTCCCATAAACTGAAATAGAATCCCAATTGCTACGAGAATGTCTTTTAGTTCACTTATGCCTGTTTGAATAGTCTCGATTCTTTCTTTGATAAGAATCAATACAATCTTTATGATTTGGTTGAGATCTAAAAACAAAAGTTTGAAAAAAGTTATTTGAAAATTGAAATTGTATTTAGATATGAAAACATAATTAAAATTTTGTGAATGAAAACTTGAAAAACTTAAAAACTTCATAAAACATGTTTTTAAACTTCAAATTTTATGTTTCAAGTTTAAAGTTGAAATAATGTGTCAATTTGATATATAAACAGTTATTGAAATGATCTCCAAACATTATTTCAAATTTTGGAACCAAAGTCTATTGCCAAAACGGTGATTGATGCTAGTGCCGAAAGTAGAAAGTATATATATATTCAACTGATTATAAGATTTAATTGCAGACTAAAGAAATGATATCATTTCATTAAATGGCAGCTTAACGATAAGTATTTTCTGGAGAATGAATGCAAAATCCTAGTCCTATTTAATTTGTTGTTCATGATTATTTCATTTTAAATGACCGAGAAGTTACCGAGATAGGTCCGAACTGTGCATGAATTGAATACTTAATTGCTGAAAGAATTTGAATGAAACCTCTTTACCAAAAACAGCTTCCAACGAAATAAACGTGAAAATTTTAAAAAAAGGAATAATACTGGTGTTGACCGATGACTGCCGCTCTGATTCTTGAATTCTCCCCCTTCCCTTCCATATATAATAGTGTGTGCCATTCTTCCAAAAGAAACCGCAAAGGTAAAAAGAAGATAAAATAATAGGTTTAACTTTTTGGGGTTTTGAGGGCGCCGAGTTTGAAAATAATTTCAATCCTCATGCACTAAACTGTGGAATATTAATTTATCATATGAATAATTTTCCAGTCTCATTTGATGTGATATCATTACTATTTAAAAAGTTAAACAATTGTCCTTAACTATAATTTTCTACATTTTTTTAAAAATACTTTGAAGTATTGCCTACACTAACTTATATTACAGACACAAATTTTAAGAAAGACTTATCTAAAACAAGCCATGTAAATTTCCGACTATAAATTATTATATTAAGAAAAAATAAAATATTAATTTATTATTAAAATATAAAAAATATTATTCTTTTTGAAATAAAAAATAACACATAAATTGGGGAAAAAAGTAATACTTTTCACATAAAAAATTAGATGCTTTGACCATTATATTTGGAACTTCTTTATATAAAATAGGACGAGTGAACTACTAAATTGGCAAAAAAAAGAAGAAGAAGATAAGTATGAATTAACCATAATTAAGTAGATCTTCTTTTTTTTAAGAAAAACAAATCATGTCATGGGGTGAGGGGGAGAGAGAAAAGAGGTAGT